GTAGTGATTTAGCGGATTGAATATTATTGACGTGGAAGGATAATTGTATCTGGGAACTGTCATCTTTTGACCTTGAAAGTAATGCCAAATACATTTACTCCAAGGGACAGATTTGATTGTACAGTCTGACAACTGAAGACGTGCAGTAGTATTTTAAGCAAGTTTACTTCTGGAGCTAGAAATTTTTTATGTTTCCGGTTGTACCACTTGTCTGGGCAGTCCCAGAAAGATCTTGTTTCTGCATGTAAGGACAAGATAACTCCTCAGTGGCCGAAGATATCCCTTCAGTTTGAGAGTTCATTCTTCATTAATATGAGTGAGATCCCTGCCTCTGCCACATGCAAGTGCTATCCTTATGCATTCATGGGAAAACAAGCTAAAGACTGAATGTCTGAATGACATGAAGTGTTTGGTGTGATAGGATATGTCTTTGTGATTCATATCATGTGACAGAATACAGTACTGGAATAAACAATCGAGCTAGCTGCCACCTATCTAGTACCAGGAGCATTATAGTCACCAGATCACAGTCTCCTGGTGTTTCCATAGGATGAATAGACCTCCTAAGAGTTCAGATTTCTTAGCCAAGGTGCAATGGCATCATAATGTAAATACGAAGCCCACTGGATTCAAAGTCACATCTCTGCATGGCAGTGCTATGCCATCATTTTTGTTAGTATTAGTCTGGGAATCGATACGCCAAGCTCATTACCTTGTGAGCTCATAAAAGAACACAGCACATTGCACAGAATAACCTAACAGCTTTTGGTTTGAGCTCGGACTGCTTAGTCTTACATTGCTACCATGCAAGTGAAAAGGGACTAGTGTTTTAACTTTTCGTCTTTTATTTAATTTCCCTAGAGGTAGGTTCAAGCTCTTTGTAGCAGGGAACCTAAAAATTAAAGAACTACCTTGTTCCAACAGTGGCTTGATGGTCATCTTCTGATATATGGACTTTTGCCTTATACTTTTTCATGAACACTTTGCTGTGAACATTAGCCCTAAGATCTCTTGGCTGGGTGTGAAAACCACACGCTACATTTATGTTCTCTGGTTGACTGACCTCCAGTCTTAGTGGAAAGTCTTCCCTGTGTTGTCAAAATGATGAATGTTTCTAGCTATGCCGATGGTTATTAACATCTAAATTCAGAGGAAGTCACTCTCAACCTCAAAGCTAAATGCTGCCAAGAGCATCGCTACTTCAAGCCCTTTACCATGACATTATACACTGTGATGTGTGTTGGAAAATTCCTACTGAAAACTAGGGTGCAATACTCATAAAATGTGAATGAATGTAAAAGGTGTCTCACACACAAAGAAAGATGTTTGAAAAACTTCATATTTTCCAGTGTTCTGGCCAGCCTTTCCCAGTCCCTCTGTTCAGGGCTGATTTTTATTTGAAAGTTTAACCCCAGATAAGGATTATAATTGAACCTGCTTGTGCCCAGTTACAGATCACAATGTATAGAGCTTGAAGATGAAAGCAATTAAGCTGTTCCACTAATTATAAATGAAAGTCACACAAAAACGTCTGAGAAGAAAACCAACAACTTTCTGGACTCTCATCATTACTCTTTTTATTATTATAATTATTTTCTCTATAATAAGCAGTAGTTTCTGACACCACAAATGCAGGCTGACTCACTCACATAGCACTAAATAGCAAGTAAATCCACTGATTTCAGTAACATAAACACAACATAAATGAAGGGAGATCAGATCAAAAATCTAGAGGCAATTTCAAGTGTTAAACAATGAACAGGATATAAATAACACTGTAAATGCCGTCTCTTCCAAGTCATCATTGTAGGAACAAGAAATGTTCATCCTACTCAGTGAAATAAGAATGAAATGTAAGCTGTATTTCCAGAGCCTTGGTAACTTGCTGCTAATTCTCTGAGGTGTGAATCCACCCTTCAGTTCCTGACAGAAGGAAAAGCTCTTAACTTATTCTTCTCACCTAACATCGACATGTTTATTTAATCACCTAGTAGAGACGAATTGGTGGATTGTTTATATTTTCATTATATATTTATGGTTTTAACCGTTGTTATCCCAATAGTTTCCCCGTCAAGCACGATTTCCAAGATCTCCACTGCTCACCTGTACTACTCATGCGATGGATTTTTCTCAGAGGCCAGCTCTGAGGTTTATTGCATTCAACAGTTTTTATTACATCTGTTTTCTTTGCTTCCTTCAGTCAGTTTTCAGGTAACCCCTTGAGCTCAAAATTATTCTTCCTTGGGATTTTGCCACACATTTACTCTTTACCAACTAAAAATACATGATTTCCTTTATATCCTCAATAATGAAAAGATATGTAACCTTTGCTTCTTTTGACATGTAGAAAAATTACCCCATGAATATGAGTGGGTCTCAGACTGTCTGTGTACATACCATGGTATTTCCTTCTATAAGGCATCTTAGCAGCCAGAGGGCAATAGCCAATATTATTTCATGAAGGTTTTGTTCATGTTGAAGTGTAAGATGCAACTTGAGGGTGATCACCACCATTTACTGGAGCCAGTATGATCCTGACTTGATGAGGAAACAGGGAGCAGGAAAGGAACGGAGACAACTGTTGATGTGTTCAGTGCTCCACTCCACAGTACCACTTCCCAATAGGTATTATGCTTGCTGGAGCAGGACACTGATATGACCCTACTGAACAAATTAATAAGCTATCTTGCTATCTTTTATACAAGGAGGCAAAGATGAAGGAAATGGTGCAAATTCAAGATAACTTGAATAAAGAAGTCAAAAGGGGACTGGTCCATCTGTTACAAGGAACACACAAGATTATGTTACTAACTGTCCCTGTTGCAGTGCAAGGTGGAGACTTCTCTGTGTACAAGACAATGGTGCCCATGCACCATCATACACTCATTTGCACAGTTTCATAGAATCATAGAATCATAGAATGGTAAGGGTTGGAAGGGACCTTAAAGATCATCTGGTTCCAACCCCCCTGCCATGAGCAGGGATATCTTCCACTAGACCATGTTTCTCAGAGCTCCATCCGACCTGACCTTAAACACTTCCAGGGAGGGGGCATCCACAGCTTCTCTGGGCAACCTGTTCCAGTTTCAGCACATTCAACTCTGCTAGGTATCAACTAAAATAATCTGATGTGTGGCAGGCTTGACTTTGCAATAGTTTTGTGTCTTGCTTACATACTACATTACACCACAAACTTTATGCAACAGAGATTAACGGATTTTGGTCTTTATATTTTGTTTTTTCTCTGTAGAAATGGATCTACTAACTGCAATCATTTTCCTGGCTGCTTTGCTACACCAGTCTGATGGACAGGTAGGAGCATTCATCTATTCAGAAGAGCCATAAGCAAGAACATTGTACAGATATCTGATGTGGCATAGTCTGGTCTAGTGATCTCTAGAGCTTTACAGTTTGGGGTCGAAATTATTGTTAATATGTCCTTTCACAATAAAGATGAACTCTTGGTTTTCTTGATTTTTGTATTAAAATATTTATTCTGCATATCAAAATATTCTGCTTTTCACAAGAATAATTTAAAAAATACATTTTCCCAAAAAATATGAACTGATGGCATTCTAAAATAGTTTACTTAAGTATCAGAAAACTAGATTTCACCTCTCCTTAGAGCGGACTAATCTTGTAATATCTAGATATCTACTAACTAGACACATGAGTGTGAAGATATGCTTAATAATGAATGAAAAGAACTAAGTACTCCAGGGATGCCAATCATCTCTTTCTTCAATAAATCTTCGGTGATCTATGCCCTGAGTTGCTTGTTGCCTCTACCTGAATACAGCAGCAGTCCAAAATAACTGTCTGAGATGTTATTTCTACCACTGTAAATGTCATAAGTTAAACAAGATGTATGACCTCTTGGAGTAGGTTCAGTTTCCCAAACAGAAGTGTCTTAGTGCAACTTGAGACTCTCCAGAGTATCTAAGCTGTTCATTGGCGGCTGTACAGACAGTTATACCTTTCTGAAGCAACAATATGAGGCTAGGTAGAGCTCTCTGGGCATTTCAAATGGCATTACATGTCATTTGACACCACTGACTACAGCCTTTAAAACCTGGAATTGAGCTCTGAAGGCAAAGCAGTAGGATTCATCCATGTTACTTGGACATTTCAGAATTTAGTCTCTCTCCTTTTACGCTTTTCTCATTGACCGCAACAGCAAACTGACATGACCTTTAGGTATTTACATCTATGGCTTAGACAGATAAAACTAAATTAGACGAACCAGTCCATAGAAAAGAGACCGTGAAACCAATGGCAGAACTCATCTCGCTGACTTTAGCATCAAAGTATTAGTTGTTCAGATCTCTGTCAGGCTTTCTCTACAAACAAAGCAAGGAGAAAGAGGTAGTTGTACAGAATAGTTCTTCCAGTCCTAAAAATGAGTTCAGCTTTTGCGGGATCACAGAATCACAGAATCACAGAATGTTAGGGGTTGCAAGGGACCTCTGTGGGTCATCCAGTCCAACCCCCCTGCCGAAGCAGGGTCACCTAGAGCAGGCTGCATAGCTACCTCTGCCCTCTCCAGTAATGACAAAGAGAGAGAAGGTGTCTAGCTTAGACTGAGACGTCTCATTTTTAGACCTTAAGTGGGAAGAATCTTTTCCTGAGGGATGTTTTCATCTGAAAACTTCAACATATGCATTGCAACTTTTTTTTCTGAAAGGATTCATGACCTGACATCACCATGTAAGAAACAATTTAAATCATTCATTGTTTTCTTGACCTTAGATGTCTTAGAAGATGGTCTGCAAAACATATGAAAATAGAATTCCTACCTACAAATTTAATTTAGGGACACGCCTCCTAATGACAAGTGCAGTTCAAATCAAGGAAGCAAGCAAAAAAATATCTGCAATTATAAGAACAGAATAACAAATAAAGGAAAGATGGGAATTTCCAAGAAGGTCTACTTTGACAAGAAGCTCATAATTTATCTTGCTTATTAAACTTCTGGAACCTTCATTGTTGTTGTTTTCCAGGGTTTTCAGCATAAACAAATGAACATGCCCTCCTTTCCACATTCCAACATTCAAAACCAAAACCAGATCCTTGATGAACACAATGAAATACGGAGATCAGTAATTCCCTCAGCCAGGAACATGCTGAAGATGGTAAGTTATGCATTGCAACTAGCCTTCTTTCCATATCGTTAGAAGAAGATTGTAGCCTTCTAAACGACCCACACTCAGTGAACAGAGAGGGCAGGAAAGGCGCTCTGGGACTGAGATGAAGAAATCAGAATTTTATCCTTTTGTTTCTGCAGGATTCATTCTTAATTTTGCACACTTTAATCCTACAAGCACTTCTAAAATCATTGCAAATGTCTCAGGATGGACCACAAGTGTTATTTGAAACCTTTCTCTTAACCAGCATGTCTTAGTTTCTCTACTCAGAAAAATCCAATTAAGTAACATAGGAACTGTTCCATGCCTAGGGTTATTTTTGTACAGGAACAATGAACACAGGTTTGCCCCAACCACATCTGTTTATTGCTGTCAAACCTACATTAACATAGCCTGCCCAGTGAGTCACAAGCTCTTGCCTTGTACTCATTCGTTGCAATAGACAGCAACTGCAAGCCTCTTCAGGGAAAGCCTTTAAACTGAGGATGAGAAACAAAATGCAGTGATGGCTCTCAGATTATGGATAACACTCTTTAGTCTGTGCGATAAGAAGCTCCCTTACAAGAAGAGAAACACATGCCCTGGATGAAGGCAACAGTGTGTAAAGCAAAGGTGGGGTAGGAGCGTGAGCAGCAGCGTGCTTCTGGATTGCACATTATCAGGGGAGAGAAACAGACCTAGATCTGCATAGCCAGTTGTCCCCAGCTGAGCTTGCTTTGCCCATCACTGTTCCCATTCCTGCCACCCCTGATATTCTTTGTTATCCCTGTCCCATGGGCAGATGAGCTGGTCAGTGCTTTATGGCTATTTATGCAGAGTAAGACTTGCAAATATTCTCCATGTTCTAATTCCAGCTGGCATCTACCACTTCACCTCAGCTCCACCTGGGCTGAAACTCAGCTTTCATACATGGCACTCAGCAAAACGTAACTCAGACATGAAGTCAAAATTCCTATTAATCAGGACCATCTGGAGATCAGGACTGTGTGGTACTGTGCCATATAACCTGCTCTGCAACATTTAAGAGCTGAAGAATTGTGGTGCCCATGTCCCAGTAGTGTAAACTGGCGTGACTCCTCTGCTTTCTGTTGAGGACCACAGGAGCATTCAGTGCACAATGACCGAGTCACCCCCCACTTTTTTTCTTCTCCCTCATGGACTGCACTAACCTATCTGTGACCTGGATAATTCTTACTTTGTGTCTTTCAGGTGTGGAGTGAGCAAGCTGCCAAAAATGCTCAGAAATGGGCCAATAAGTGTGGGATGAAAATCAGTCCAAGAGATCAGAGAGTTATTAATGGTGCGTGACAAATATGGAGCCTAAGCTCATGTGTTAATGACAATTTACAGATGACCTCTGTGCATGTGAACTAGAAATAAGGATAACTTTTAATATGTTGTAGAACATCTTTTTAGAATTACTGAACATAAAAACATCATCTCTGTCAGACAAATACCCTGAAAGACAAAATGTTGTTGTAGCTTGAGAGAAGGATGCTATGTACTTGCCCTGAATTTGTACTTTTCTTGTGTCCGCTTTTGGCTCCTGCTGGAGACAAGACAGCACAATAGATGACTGTTGGTATGACTAAGTACAGACATTATTGTGTAACATTTTGTAGTCAAATACACACCTGTGACTGAAAGCTCACCAAAATCAGCACAAAATTTCCTGCAGCCATCATGGAATCAGGCGTGCTGTCCTCTTCTTAAAAGCACAGGGTAAATAGATCATCATTGTAGAGATTTTTTTAGGATGTAGCTAATATTCCTCCATCCTACCTCCCACTCTACAGCTTGCTTCTCTCCTGAGTAATAAAACAGACTTACTTCTACTTCAGGTGTCACCTGTGGTGAGAATGTATTACTATCATCTCACCCAAGAACATGGGCTGAAGCAATTCAAGTCTGGCGCAGTCAGTCCTCCAATTTCAAGTACGGATTTGGAGCAACCTCGAAAAATGTCAATATCAAGAGCTATACTCAGGTATGGAGAGTTGAAACGAACTGCAATGATATGCTAGAAGTACAGGATTACACATAAGGGAGCTGGGAGATATTTATCATCAGGAAAAAATTATAACTGTATCAGACCTTTATCTTTAACTTAGAAATAAATGTTTTCTACTTAGGGATGGAAATACCTGACTAAGAATTGTCAAAACAAAATGTCTACGATGAAAATATTTGAATTTAAATTTTAGTGTCCTGCCAGAAACTGTGTTCAAAAACATTTGGAAACCGCGAGACACGATTAACTCTTTTTTCTATTTACTCTTTCTGACAGTTAAACTGTAAACTTAAAAGCAAAACAGATGAAAGGAAACAAATAATTATCTTCTGGTTCTGTTATTTTGTGAGCTCTTTGATGATAATTCAACAAAACATGACTCTGAAATAATGTGGTTTTTTTTTTGTTCCACAGCTAATCTGGTACAACAGTTACCAGATTGGATGTGGAGTTGCCTATTGTCCTAGGAACCAGTTCCACTACTTTTATGTTTGCCAATATTGTCCTCCGTATGTACTGCCTTTTTACTCATTTCAGATATGATAATTCTGGATATGTGTTCAAAAACTCCTGCGATCCTTTGGTCATATGTAGGATAAAGTGATTACCATTTATTTTAACCATTTATCATTTTGAAAACGTGGATGTGAATTGTCAGTTTAACATCAGGTTAAACAGTAATATTTATTTTATTTCATTTTGAAACAGATATTAGGGAAATTTTAGCATATGAACAAAGAAAGGTCTGCATGTGTCAGAATCGAGCGTCATGCACAAATCATGCTATAACTTTGACCATAAACAAGAAAGTCAGATGTAGTGTGAAAGTCAACAGCAAATGCATATTCACAGAGGTAAAAAGCATATCTGAAACAGCTGCATGTCAGAAGGCGTCTGCTGAGGTTATTTCCTTTAAAACACAATCACATGAAAGCCATTAGAAAAGCAGAACTAAGCAGCACATAAGATTTTTTTTTTAAGTGATAGTGCTATACAAATGCATACAATTGATTAATTTTCTTTTCCTAAACCTTATTGTCCCTCCTATTTAAGATCAAAGTTCTTGTATTATATGAATATCTGAAATTAAAACATGACTGTCTATGAAAATAATTTTATCCAAAAACTTCTGGATGCCTTTCATTGCGGTAAATAACATGAACTCCTGTTAATTGGCCTAAAGCTACACTTTGACCTTCTTTTGTGTTGTGCTTCTTTCAGAGGAAATAACGCAATGCAAATAGCTACACCTTACAAAAGCGGACCAAGATGTGCAGACTGTCCCGGCCACTGTGACAGAGGGCTTTGCAGTAAGTGAATGTATTCTCCTCCTTTCAACAAACATTACATTACCTCAGATAATAACGTTGTTGCTTTGTAGCATTTTGGGTTTTCGTACTTACATCTTGCTAATCTGGAGGAAAGATCCTAGAACTGCCCCTTTCCTTCCCCCCCCCCCGAAATAACAGTGGTTACATATCCCACCACAACAGGCACAATCTTGAGCAGGGGGGGCTGGACAAGACGACCTCCAGAGATCCCTTCGAAGCTCAACCATCCTATGATCAGGGGTAAACTGTGTCGCTGTTGAGCAATACGTGCATTATCACGCTGTCAATCTTCTGCTGCCCTCTTCTGGAGAGCTCAAGAGAAAGTGTCTTGATGTACATCTATATATCTCAGTGCACGAACAGACTGTCAGGCTTCACACATCCGTATGTACGTGAAGATCTGCACAGGCCGCTGGGTTCTGTAGACTTCCATATGGAGCAAGCCAAAGGGTACAGATAGATGGGAATCGTAAGACAGCACCTTTCTGTCTGCATTCCCTTTTCTATAATATTCCAGCAATTTTAACAACAGAGCAAAAGTGCAAAGGCTATGTAGACATGAAAAATTGGAATTTTTGGAAAATGGAGAAGTACCAGATGAGGATTTGGTTTTCAACTAATAATTCATGATTTTGTTTCTGTCTCTTGCATTTTAGCCAATCCTTGCAAGCATCAAGATTTCTTTGGAAACTGCAGAAATCTGAAAATGTTGTTTAGCTGTAACCATTCACTGGTGAAGGAGAAGTGTCCTGCTACCTGTAGATGCACCACTCAAATCATATGATGTCCTGGTGGATGTTGTTCTAGCTTTTGCAAGATTTACTCATTAGAAAAGGGTAGAACTTGCCATGAAGTGTATTCACTCTCAGTGCATCAGCTCCGTCTGATCTATAGGTAGTTATTTTTTCTGAACTCTCACCATTATTTCAGTCCTAAAGAAGTCTAGAATCTCATACAACCTCTGATGTTATTTTAGACTTTGTAGAAAACATGCTTAAGCTACTAATGTGTTACTTTGTGGTTTTCCTTGCAGTGGATTATCCACTGATTCTTTCCTTTCAAAACGCCCTAGGTTTTTCAAAATATGTTAAGTTCCACTTAACTTTCTACTCTTACCTTTTCTTTGATTAGAAATGGAATTTATTCCTTTTAATTAAATACACGATTTACTACTGGTTTACTAACAGAGTGTTTCATTGAAGTTATTTATAACTCAATTTTTTCATTTGGAAAATTCCTCATCAATATTTCAAGACTCTCTGATACTTCATATGAGTGAGGATGAGACTGGAAAAGCAAGACAAAGCAAAAAAACTGATACATGTTTTTATAAAGCCAAAATAAGAGGCATACACTGAATATGCCAAATTTTACCCTGTGGCCTAAACACAAAGCTTCTGACAAGTCTATGTATGCAGGTGGTAAATGATTTTTTTTTATGTTGTATCAACAGTCAAGAAATAGAAAGCTTTTTAAAAGCACTCATACAAAGAAATAGGTACAGATATCCCTTCCCATTCTTTCTGTGAGTTCCGATGAGTAAGCAAGTCCCACACTCGCTTGAGATTAATATTGCAGCATGTAGGAAAAAAAAAAATAAAAGCAGTGCATCGAAATCCCCCAAAACCCCCATGAAAATATCTGATTTTCTCCAAAACATCCAGGGAATGAACTTAGTGCTAGTTCCTAGCAATACACACCTCTTGGATCTCTCCAAGAGGATTAAGATCAGCTGAAGACCTTAGATGTGCCTTCTCTGTTGGCAGGCAGACCACCAGCTCCTGCCTAGGGGGAAATTCAGCTAGATCTGCTGCCCTTGGTTGCAGAGCCACATTAGTTTACCACATCTAATCATGCATTTCCTTGAGTAAGGTTTTTCATTTCATAGTTTTCCACGCCCTTTACAACGCAGGGCATGACTTCAAAACTGTCTGTGTTGACCCAGAACTGAGGATTTAGATTTGTCACCTGTCAGTGGCATTGGTTTCTTGGAGGAACTTTTCACAGAATCACAGAATGTTCTGGTTTGAAAGGGACCTCTGAGGGTCATCTAGTCCAATCCCCCTGCCCAAGCAGGGTCACCCAGAGCAGGCTGCGCAGGACCTTGTCCAGGCGGGTCTTAAATCCCTCCAGAGAAGGAGACACCACAACCTCCCTTGGCAGCCTGTTCCAGTGCTCCATCACCCTCAGAGTGAAGAAGTTCTTCCTCATGTTCAGATGGAACTTCCTATGCTTCAGTTTGTGCCCATTTAGTGAGGGGCATTATCACAATCGTGTCTCTGACAATATCATTACATTGACAAAACAGTATTTCAGAATCATCTTACAGCTTTTTTATTTACACATTCTAGCTTTTATCTCATCTTTATATTTCTAACTTTAATAAAAAGGTAGATACAGAGGAAACAGAAGCTTTTCATGCTGACAGTTTATGAACTTTGATAGGTGTTAAAAAACAGACATCTGGAGCAGCATCTTCTCACTGAATAGAGAAGCTCCTTCCCCCAATCTTCCTCCCGCCACTTGTCCCAAGCCTCTGCAGAGCAAGTGATGCATCCTGGTATCATGCAAGATGATACAATAGGGTGTCCCACCGGACCACCAGCTGCCCCTCAAGATGGGTGCTGGTTTCCCACAGGTCTGGAGTCACATATACCAGCCCTGAGCAGGACTGATCCCGCTTACCACCTTCTTTTGTTATTTTAGGCCAGCAAAAATCCGTTTTCCATCGGTCTGCAGTTCTGGTTAAAAACACAAGAGGGTGAACCATACCCAGATATTCAGCTGCATTGGTTTTTCATTTTGCTACCCAGATGAAGGGCTGCTTCTTTTATTAGAAATTGAAGCTCTGGGCCTCACTGACCTGTTTTTAACACGTGCCTGCACAGAATTTCTAGATAATACTGGATAAATAAATAACAACTACATATAGAAATAGTTTGGTAGCGGTTTCTTCCACTCCATTGTTTCATCCTGCCTCTGTTGGCCAAATTACTGTTATATAAAACAAATATATACTCTCAAATTAAGGCAATTTATATTCCATTATATCAATGGCTAAATATGGTAGTCTTGATTTTCTACCTGCCTGAAGCTCAGTGTCAAAGTAATGACTGCAAGCAACTATTTAAGGTTCCTACAAGCACAGCAGTATTCATAGAAATTGTAATTCAAACCAAAGCTGAGTGAAAATTTCCTTTGAAAACTGTTTTTTCTCAGAACATACTATTCTGTAAAACCATAGTTCTCTTACAGGAGGTTACAGAAGTTTGGCAAACTCTGGTGTTTTCTGGGCTATTTTCTAATATTTCATTTTTGCTTGGAGGTGGGGGTTAAAACTCCTTCCGCACACGCACTTTCTTTTTCCTCCATCTCTCTCTGGCCCGATGAATATTTAAAAATGAATTATTTTATTATCAGAGATTTCTGAGAGAGCTCCCTCCCCAGAGAGCCAGCTTTTGTGCTCTGGATGTCCAGCTACTGTGTTTGAGCATGGCAGCAGCAGGAGCTGGAAGACAACTTCTGCATCATGAAGTGCAACCCTGGAGCATTAAGAATCCTGACGGGCTACTGCAGGGTGTCCAGGCATTATCCTTCTTTCTTTCTTAGGGGATTTCAAAAGATTCTGCTTCCTTATTGATGTGGAATAAATGAAACAGCAGGTGAGATGAAATGCTACCTGGATGATTCTATTTCTCAGTACAGACTTCAAGGAGATCTTGGGTCATTCCACTTAGTTGGTCATGTCCCTGGAAAGGCTGAGACGCTTCTGAACATGAGTTTTCCATATGCAGGTGAGGTAAAAGCAATATGATATTCAGTGATATCCAGCACATGAAGTAATATTTTTCTCCATTCTCTAACAGTATTTTCTGAAACTTATCTTTCATGCTGATGCCCTGAGAGCTGTGTCCTTTGTGGTACTAGCATATGCTTTCTGGTATATGATGAAGTTACATCTATAGAAATGTGCTATATTTTGGGTGTAGTTCAGAGGAGACACTACTAACACCGAGAATTTCTTACAGTTTCTGTTCTAGTTCCAGATATACCGACTAGAAGCACATATGCTGAGAGATGATAAGAGCAACTAGTACTGTACAAGTCTAAGACTTATCTGTGGAGAATGATGTAAGAGCTCGTAAGCAGTTAACTTACATGACACGGACTTCAAACACAGAGTTTTGAAAAAATACTATGAAGTAACTTTAACAGTCTTATGACTTGTGGAGAAAAAATGATGCTATTTAAAATATGCCGACTGCGGTAGTTATATTGTCTAATTTAGCTATCTGAGAATCAGCCTCTGAACTAAGCAACTAAGGTACTTTCAACACCACAAAGTCTTGCTGAGAGTAATGGGCCTAAATCTTCCCTGTTTGTCGCGTGTATTGATATGACAGAGAGAACAACACTTCCATAAACCTTGCCTTGCTCATGTCCTTAACATATCACACCTACAATAGCAGCAGGTTAAGCAGCTGAAGCTAAGACTTTATACTAAATGGAAAGCAAGGGTTGGAAACCTTGACATGCCATTAGAAATTTGTGTTGTCAGAATGTCCAGTTGGTGCCCAACAAACAAAACTGTAGCAAGACCAAGCAGCAAAAGGGCCATCAGACCCGTGACAGGATGAGGATGTTCTCCACCCCTGGGCTGCTCTCAACTCTTCTAGGCCAGGCTGCCAAAAATTGAATTCCTCTAAGTGTAAGGGCCACAGTTAAACTGTGAAAAAACAGGTGGTGGACTTTCTTATTAAGAAGCTACTTGACAGTTACTGTCTCCACTCCGGGCTGAAAGCAAGACATTTAACCTCCGTGCTTCTATCTCACTGACTGCAACGCAGAGATAAACTGACATCGTCAGGGCAAGGAAGATTAATTAGTGAGCACTGAGAAAGAGCCTATGAAGCACTAAGACCTGTTAATTATAATATCATATTTGGTAGCCACACCTCTGGTATAATTATATCTCAGTGTAACCACAAGTCAAGGGGACACAGGGCACCAGGAGATACAAGTGAGGAAATGACACTCCCTCCTGCGCTGACCCACTGGTGATGTCTGGAGGTTCACAGGTTGGTCACTAGGCTCAGTCATCTGGTCTTGGGTTTGTGCAGCGCAGCCGTGGGCAGCCTAAGACTGACAAAGATATGCCGACACCCGCATCAATAACAAGTCTTGAAGACAAGCAAATTTTAGGAAAATTTGAGGTAGCAGATTGCATGGAAATACTGTTGCATACATTAAGGAAATTGCCTGTGTTAACTACTCATTCTGTTAGCAATGGGCAACAGAGTGCTCGATACATGTGTAACTGAAAATGGCTCTTTAAAATGCCTATCATCATTTTGTTTTTTTCCACCGTAAAGGAAATTACGATTTCCAGCCAAATGTCATTTTTCTCTTCCTGATTTGCATCACTACCATTCCTTCTCTGTTTTCTTCACTTCTCCTGCTTCTGCATAAAGCAATGGAAGTAAAAGGGGAAAACCTAAGCTGCCAAATTAAAATCAAATTAAGGCTTTTATTTCTTTTGTTGACAAATTTTGAATGGAACACAAGCTTTTTTTATTTTATTCATTGACTTTAAAACACAAATTTTTTCTTCAAACAGTCCTTTCCCAATGTAAACATATTCCAGAAGCCTATGCTGAAGGTAGCCGAGGAATTATATGTAAAAACGTGTTAGTTTTATTTAGTGATATACAGTAGGCACTTACAACAACTCAAGTTTTCCACAAAGTGATTCCTGGATGGTGAAACGCTGCTTATTTTGGCAAG